ACTGTATTAAAAGAAAGAAAATGTGGAAGGAAACACATTTGTCCACAAAACATTGACCACAGAATTTAAACTAAATTAAAAAATAGAGTGGGACTAGATATTAACTTGCATTTATTTAAATATTTCTGTTTATTTTGGTTTTAATGCTTGTCCTGTTTTGTCGCTGACATTTATTTTGTTCTCTATTCACATTCAAATAAAAGTTGTTTTGAAACATACCACCATAAAAGGATTAATCACACAAATACTTTTTCTAAATTAATAAACAACCCAGCATTTATTATCAACATTTAGTTGCCAAGCTTCAACTTACAAGTGTTACAGGGAACACGGTCAATGAAGCTGGCTTGTTTATTCAAGCCCTATTACATTTTAACTTGCCTATATTTGAACATGGTACTGTATATTTTGATTTAAACTATTTATATTTATATGTAAATGGTGAGTTTGTGCTAAATTAACTAAAAATGGGAGAAGGTGAACATCCTGTACTTAAAACACAGGGTCAAAAATCATATTGTTTTGGATCACAGAAAATGTTAATTCCATCCATCCATTTTCTAACCACTTCATTTAGTACAGGGTTGGTGGTAGTCCACATACGTTGATGCTGTTAATTAGTGTGCTCTTAAAAGTACAACGATTTTCTGGAGCATCAGGAAACTGCTGAATTGACAAATTCTGTTATGCCTGTTGAACTTAATGTGTAAATTAATTAATTTATTTATCTGTATAGATCTTGTCCTTAACAAAAACACAATTTTTATTGTTTTCCCTGCAGCTCATTTTTCAATAGTAATCAATAACCACTTTCACAGGATATCTTTTCCTATTAGTGAAGTGGTGGCCTACAGTCTTTATCTAGGTTCCCTCTCTTACCATGAATGGATGAAATCACTTTCTTCTAACATTTCCTCTAACTACTCCACGTGCCAGTGACGGAGATTCCTCCCTTCTGGAAGTGCTGATTGACTTTTATGCACGATTAGAAGCACTAAATACACTGCCTGTGAGAAAGACCATGCCTCCTCCCAATGATCAGGTGCTTTGCCTGTTCGCAGCTGATGTGAGGAAGACACTAGCAAAAGTTAACCCATGTAAGCCTGCTGGACCTGACAATATACATGGTCGCGTGCTCAAGGAATGTGCAGCACAGTTAGCTGATGTTCTTACAGACATTTTTAATATCTCCCTGTGCCAGGTGGTCATCCCTGTATGTTTCAAGACCACCATGATTATACCAGTGCTGAAGAAGTCTACTGTGTCCTGTCTCAATGACTATTGCCCCGTGGCATTCACAACAATTGTCATGTAGTGCTTCGAAAGGCTAGTCATGGGTCACATTAAGTCCAGACTCCCCACCTCTCTGTACCCCTTCCAGTTTATGTATCGTCCCAAATGTCCTACCGATGATGCTGTATCTCTCGCCCTTCACCTTTCCCTGTCCCCTCTGGATAAGAGGGACACTTATGTAAGAATGCTGTTCATTAACTTCGGTTTCTGTATTCAACACAATCATCCCCCAGAAACTGCTGAACCTTAAAACCTCACTCTGTAGCTAGATCTTGGACTTTCTGACCGAGAGACCTCAGAGAGTCGGATTGGAAACAAAGTCTCTAGTACCACGATACTGAAAACCAGAATCCCCCAGGGCTGTGTACTCAGCCCACTTCTGTTCACGCTGATGACTCATGACTGCACTGCTAAGCACAGTGCAAATTACATCATTAAGTTTGCTGATGACTCAGCAGTGGTGGGCCTCATTAATAACAACGATGAGGCACCATACGGAGAGGAGGTGGAGAAACTAGTGGACTATTACTTAAACAACAATGTTGATAAGACAAAACAGATGATAATTGACTTCAGGAGGGCCCGCGCTGATCACTCCCCACTGCACATCAAATGCTTCGGTGTGGAGACAGCTAGAAGTACTACGTTTCTTGTTGTGCATATAACATATGACCTCACTCGGACCATCAACACCTCCCTAGCTAAAAAAGCACAATAATGTCTCCACTTCCTGTGGCGACTGAGAAGGGCAAACCTTCCCCCCCCATACTATCCACATTCTATGGAGATACCATCAAGAGCATCTTGACAAACTGTATCATTGTTTGGTTTGGTAATTATAAGGTCTCAGACTGCAAGTCCCTGCAACGAATTGTCAATACAGCAGGAAACATCATTGGAACCTCCCTTCTTTCCATTCAGGACATATACCACAAATGCTGCACACACAAAGCCTCCAGTATTGTGGACGATCCCTTCCACCTTTCCTGCAACCTCTTTGCCCTCCTACCATCTGGTAAATGGTATCGCAGTGTACAGGCCAGCTCCACCAAACTCCCTAACAGCTTTTTGTCACAGGCTGTCAGGCTCCTCAACATCCTGGTACCTACTGCACCTACTCCAAATCTGGAAACCTTGTTCTTTTTTGCCTAATGTCAGGCATACTTTCTGATGTATTATTTGCTCAATTCTTTGCACAATCCTGTAAAGTAAATTGCACTATGCACATTGCACTTTATGTAACCTATACCCTGACAGAAATGTCTATGTCTACATTGTCTATAGCATTGCCTTGTCATTGTTTTGTCTGTATTCACATCAGCGAACGATATCTCGATCCTCTGTTTATTTGTATATGGCTGGATTGACAAATAAACTTTCACTTGAACTTGATTTCACTGTGTCAAAGAGAGACAAGGAGGTTCATGTTTAGCCATCTGTGTGTTGCTCATTGAGGAATACATACAAGAGTATGGCAGTGAAATTCACAGACGTTCTGGTTTAATTTCAAAATTACGTATAGTAACATGTTACTAGAGTTTTCAGTAATAAACAGCAGTGGTGATCTAGGTTTCATCCCTGACATACTGTAGATTGTTTTCTCTTTAACTGTTCTAGAACTTCAGAAATTCAGTGTATGTTAGATAAACTGTAGTCCCACGGCAGAGCAAGGATGTGTCTTACATTTAAGCACAGGTTGTACAGTAGGTTACTTTAGCAGTGCTGAGGAAATGAACGCACTATGTACCAAAAGCTGTAGTAGAGGGCAACAATACTACTTGAGGTATAAAAGGATTCAATGGTGTATCTGTATATAAATAATTTGCAAAGTTAAAGACAAATAAAGCTTTAGGGAAACATAAACTTCTGAGCAATTAATCAGCTGTATTGACATAAAGAGCAGGCGCAACACAAACTGCGTTAATGAGACACCCAGACCCCAGTTCATAAAAATGTATTTTTTTCCTAATAATTATTAAATAAATGAAATTAACTGCCTGCACATTTATATGAAAGACTTTTCTTTTCTCAATCAGAATACTTTCTGACATTCCAAAATGTTAATTGTGTCATTTAAAGCACATTTATTCTATATAAAAAATGTGAAATATATATATAATATTGTCGTTTACTGAATATGTAAAAGTGTTTCACAAATAAAAAAGATCAAAATGCAGTGACTGCGGCCAGGCATTGTACAGATCTAAATTCTGTTATAATTCAGTATTATACCATGGCAAAATATTCATGCTTGTGAAGCAATGATGTGCAGTTATTATTAATGAAAGGATGAACAAGCATTAGTGCTTAGTGTTTTAGACTTGAAATGTCAAGAAATCTAGTCTTTGGGATTTTGTTTTGGAAAAGGGTCTCATAATGCTTTGAGAGAAACAAGTAAAGCTGCTTGTGACCTTTCTTTCACAAATAGTTGTAGCCTTTTAAGTAAATTCCAGTTACTCAATGCAAACATCTGCAGATTTCCACTGTTTATTCCCTCAGCTGACACCCCAATGACGGTTACATTTAGCTGCCAGAACTGACAATGGACAATGGAGACACTTACAGCTGTCAGGGGGGGTTGTTGCTCTTTTTCTGCAGCACTTCATTAATTGACATTTTGGCTAACACAGGGGGTTTCGTAATCTTTTTTTTAAGCATATGTCATACATTTTTCATGAATTTGGAAGGCAAGTAATTTGCAGAAACCATGAAGACAATTTATTTGACAATACCTTTTCTCATTAAGAAATCATTTTAAAAAGGTGCAGCTGCCTTTCTAGTACAGCCTTTGTATAAAACAAAACAAAGTTATTTGCCTATTAAAATATTTCTAAAAATAATAACTTTTTTTTTTGTCCTGTCAATCCAGCTTACTTTAGTTAGTGAACTATGTGTTAAGTAAACGATAAGTTGTTACAGGAACAATTGTTTTAGTTTGGCCTAGATTTTAGAGAACAGGATGCAGTTTTTGGCCCTGCTTTGTTTTAACAGCTGGTAGAAACTGATACACTGTTTGTCTCTATAAACAAATACAAAACACTTCTTTAAAAGTTTCAAAACGTCTTCAACAGATTGAGAAAGGCAATATTTTCTACACGTTAGGAAGTTTAATATCTTTTAGTAAAACAAAAAACGTTTACACTACACTTCATGTTGTTCAATTCAGTATAATTAATGATGTTCACATTTCAAATCTAACATCATATTCGCCATGTTTCAGTTTGCACCATTTTTGTGAAAGACATCCATGATATTTGTAAATGCTAATAAAAAAATAATACTACAGGCAAGTCTTCATATTTCTCCCATAGTGAACTGGATAAATAAAGCATTGTATGAAAAAAATACCTCACATTAGTTGTAGATTTTAAAGTCAATATTTTGTAAGTAGTAGTAACTCTTTAATTAGCTGTTTAAAAATATTATTTCATTTATTATAATGCACAGTATTTATGTGAACTTATCACATTTTGTTCTTTTAGCATTAACAGCTAATTCTGCCATATGCTATTCGGGTATTTCCTGCAGGAAATCAGCTCTGCACTAACTTTGTTGAATATAAAAAGAAATCCTCAATATTGAAAAACGCAGGTAAAAAGACAAACGTCTGCAAATATATTAAAAGCTCCAGAAAGGATAATATAGAGAGTAGATACAGACATATAATACACACATACAATACATATACAATTATAAACTGTACTCACCAAAGAACTTCGAAGAAGGAGAAGTTGGCTCTGAGAAAGTTATGGTGGAGTCTAACAGGGTTGGTGTGCTAGTATTGTCAGCCATAGTGTGTAGCTGGGTGTGTGCAGATTGAGAAGGACAGCTGGTCTGTGAATGCTGCAGAGAGACTCTAAGGAGAGATATTTGCAATGAGAACACTGTGCTATACTCTGGTTTCAAATCTCTGCAAGTGGAAAAGGAAGCAGCACATGTGTCATTTTCTTCTTTAGTCTTGCACACACCAAGATCACAGAAGTTCAAATAAAAGGAGTGTCTAACCTTTCACAAACCATTGTTAACTCATATATATCTTTAACTCTTTTCTAGATTATTAAATATAATAATTATTATTATATTTAATATTATATTAATGATTGACAAACAGCATGAAATACTGTTTTAAATAATAGTAATTCAATTGCTAGCCTTCTTTCAGATACAGGATTCCAAATCCGGTTTGTTCATCTTCATTTGTGGGTTTTAATTTCAGAGAATTCAAATATATTGTAGTTAAATTTATTTCAAGATGCTCCCTTAATTTAAATCAATAATATAACATGGAAACCATAATCAGTTCAGAAGCAAAAGTTAACAAGCAAAAAATTAGCTACTTTTGTTTGTTTATTTGGAACTTCCAATTATTCACTTATCACCCCCTCAGTTTCAAATTCCTCATCAGCAATTTATGTATCTGACCTCTACGATTCTTCTATCACTACAGTAAAAAGATTTATAATCACATTTTTTATAAAAGACCATAAACAATTTCTTTACAATGTGACACTTAAGGCTATTTGACAATTTTCATGCTGTGACAGTAGAAAGAGTGATGCAACTATCACTGAGAAAAATTGCAAGCTCAAAAGCTGGCAGCAAAACATAAAATCGGGGATGTATGGTAAGCCAAGAACACCCAGGATGGCTCAGGACAAGCCAGCTGCAAAACCCTTATCTCAGTAAGCATTAAGGTGTCTTCCAGGTGTCCCAATTTCTTCCCACAGTCCAAAAACATACTGGTAAGTTAATTGGCTTCTGAGAGAATTATTCCTGGTGTGTGTGTCTCTCTGTGCTTTACAACAGACTGGCTGTTGTAAAGGATAGCCAGGATACATTCAGGGTGTATCCTGCCCCACGCCCATTACTTGCAAGGATAGTGCATAGTGTATCAGCTTCAATTTTTTTGTTACTCAGGGAAAACGAAAACACTGTAGTCTATTTTTGTTAATCTGATACAGACTTCGGTACAAAGTTTGAAACCCAAGGAACGTTAGCATTTAAAAAGCTCCACATCTATAATAATTACTGTCAGACTACAAATAACATTTACCATTCACATAAAAATGAACAGTTTTCTGTTCTGTATTTTGTCATGTAGTTGATGTGTAGTTTCAAAATTGATGAAACTAATGTCTTATTATATCTATCCAGTGCAAGCAGTATACCTATTACTATTTAATTCTCCTCCATAAAGTTTTACAAGTCAATAAAACAAATAGTAATGTCTTTCAAATGCATGCACTGAGAAAACATTTCTTACTATTTTAAAACTAATAGCGATCTTTAAAAAATTAATTCAATTATAGTGAAATACATGATTAAAGTATTATGGTATTCTCAATCAATCCACTTGCCAGTAATTTGGAAATTAAGGGTAACCACACTATGTATATTGTATATATTGTATATATATGTATATTTTCTTTTCTAGCTATCCTTCCAGGGTAGGTCATTTGCATGAATGCTTCCCATACCCTTAACATCTTCTGAAGTCAATGAAATATGAAAAATTACTTACCAAATTTTCCAGACTTAAATAATGATTTTGTTCTTGTGTTTATGAGCCTTTTGGTCCACGTTAGAAATTTACATACATTTCTAATGCTTACTTCATCTGTTAATTTAGGTGAGTGTTGTCTCCTGTTAAGGGCTGTTTTTTGTGTTTTAGTGTGGGTGGTGCCATGTCTTTTCCCTATTAACTTTTTTTTGCTTATTCCCATGTTAATTATTTGTACTTGTTGACCAAAAGCTTAGTGTGCCCCTCCTGTCCATGTAAAACTGCCACAGCTGCTGTCTCAGGAAGCTCTAGGGAGGGACTGGAAGTAGGAGGGGTGTAACAGGCCTAGGAACTCAAGCAAAAAAAAATCTTTGGAGAGTTGTTTGTACAAGTAACACATCCAATAGTAATGATCTCATCTTACACAAACACAAGTTCCAGAACTCCTGGTGCCAGTGAAAAATGGACGTTATTTTATGTTTTGACTCCCCCTTCTGCTACTTTTTGACTGAGAAGAACTAAACATGAGGTTATTAATTATTTGATTTTAATGGTAAAGCTTAATACCAAAAACAGTAAAGGAGTCATTCTGTGAAATTGTGTCATAATGTGCTGAATCTAATCCAAACCAGTATTTTATATGTATTAAAATTTTAAGTGATAAGACACAAACAACACAGACACAAAAATATGGTAACGGTTTATGAATTTAATATAAGAAGATCTGTTAATTTGGAGAAAACAATGTAAACTTTGAGTTAAGTATTCCTTTCCCATTGAATATTATACACTCACTGTGAAACAACTTCTACCTCATCCCATCAAACTGAACAGTATTTCTAAGGAAGCTATACATTCAGTGACATTTTATTCTATTTTTTACTATTTTTCTTTTTAAAAACTTACCATGTTAATTATATTCAAATGCAATACTGCATTTAGCAAGTGCTTAATGTATATTGCTTCTGTTTTATTTTGAAGCAAACTCCTAGTGTTATTCAGTGTCATCCAAAATTTCCTTTTGATATGCTAAAATACAAAAAAACTAACAAGAATAATGATTAAGTTCTCCAATAAATTCAAACCATGGATTCAGGATAACATGGTGATTTACATAATGTTACAGAGGGTACAAGGTTGAGATGTTAAGAAACAATTCAGCTCAAGGAATGATGTACATAGTGTTGTTTAAGTGGAAGGAAGTGGTGAAAATGTTGTTAATGTGGCCAGGCCTGACTTGTCTGAAGGAGGCACAAAAATGTAAAGGTCAAGGACAATCCCTAGAGACCTGAAAGAGGGAAAGTTTTCTCTGTACTTGAAGAGGATTTGGACATCTGAAAAATGTGAGTGAAGCATGAAAGAGGTCTAGAAAATGAGAGAAATGAAGGATGAGAAAATGAATCTGAGAAATGAAGAATGTACAGTATGGGATCTTGTAAATGAGGAATGATCCAGCAGAGAGTTTCTGAAAGTGTCAACATCTTCGGGCAGTCAGAAACAAGATTGACTGTGAAATAATACTTCAATGGAGCTCACTACAAGTTTCCTGAAATTTAGGATCATGAGGCAGAAATTTAAAAACACTAGTGATGATGGTTGTTTCAGCTAGGCATTTTGTCATACTGTTTTGATCAGGTATATCAATGGTGGAATTGGGTAGTAGACTTATATATGCCTTGAGCAGGGAAGATGAGGAGATCAACAATAAAGCACATACTGTATAACCAGAATATACAACATCATTGTTTGATTTTAATTACTATTGTAAAATCAATGTAAAAACAAAACAAAAGTTCACTTATCTAAAAGTCCTTATCCACAAAGTTGCACTTCCATCACTGTTCTGTAGATTATGTTTTTCCTTGGATTTTCCTTTCAATTTATGTGTCCACCAAAACAAAGAAATAAAGTGGCAAAGTTCAATATCCAAAGTCCCTCAACGAATGGTAAATCCAAATATAAATCTTAACTGTAAGTGAGGTGATCTTAAAGAGTGCTGAATCTCTCTCTGTCTTCTCACTCAGTCGTTTCCCACCGTTTTATCTAGAATAATTTCTAGAAAATTCTAGACACCTCATGTGACATGTCCACATCGAGTGATTTACATAATCATTCCAGCAAATTCTTGTCAGGAAAACTCAAGACAATACTTATACTAAATATTTTACACAAAGTAATGTTATTTACAAAGGATGAAGATTCAAATAAATCTAAAAATAGTTAAAAAATAATTATTCATAATAGCCTGTATTTCTAAAATAACATCTTTAAATCTCTCGATATATGCCTAGACCCTGATAAGATGATCAACAGATTACACCAGGTGGCCCATAAAAGGAAACTACCCACAGTTTAACTAATGAGTCGCAGGTGAGTGACAATGAATAGTCACCTTCTTCCTTTCTGACAGCGGTTCCTGCTTCTATTGTGTATGTGTGTGCAACAGAGTAAATTTTTATAGAGAAATGGAGGCTGGACAGTATGCGTTACAATATAAACATTTATATTGATTTAAATCGTGTT